CTGGTCGTTTTTTTTTTTTTTAACCAGTTTCCCCTCCTGCCTTTTTTTTTTTTTTCTTCCTTATTTTTTTCTTTTTTCTTTTTCTTTTTCTTTTTTTTTTTTTTTTTTGAAAAGCAGAGATTGACAAAGATCTTAAATTCACTGGTTCACTCCCCAAATGCCCACAGCAGCTGGGGCTGGGTCAGGTTGAAGCCAGGAGCCTAGAATTCGGTCCCTGTGGGTGGCTGAGACTTATGCCATCACCTGCTACTTCCCAGGACACTCATTAGTACAAAGCTGAAGTCAAGCAGAACCAGGACTTGAATCAGCTACTCCAATATGGGACGTAGTCGTCCCAGTGGTTGAGCCAAGTGCCTGCCTTTCATGTTGTTGTACTGAAGTCTCTTGTTGAAGTTAGCCTGTCTTTGTTTTATTCTGTTCTCTTTTACCCTGAGACTTGGGTGATTTATTTTTCTGTCATTTTGAAAAAGTAGTGCAAAGAGAATACCATGTTGAGATTTCTGACCACATGTTATTAGCATAAATTGCCCAGCTTGTAGTATGAATAAACCGCATTTGTAATTACATGGCAGTCATTTTAAGCTCCTATTGCTAAGTTTTATTTCATGTTCCTCCTTTTCTCATTGAGGTATTGCATGAAAAGGGCAATATGAAGTACTGTCCTTTCTTAAAATATAGGCACAAGGTGTAAACTGGACAATAACATGTGGTTTGTATTCCCAGTGTTTTTGGATGCTTCCAGGTAAGCTGGACAGAAAATTGTGCTTTGAGCGCCTCAGAAGAAAGGCGTTCCAAGCATCTGAGAGAATTCTGCTCAGGGTGGTATTTATAAATGTGTAAGCTAATAGTAAAATCTTAAAATTCTAGAAAATATTAACAGCATGTATTTGTATGATTTTGTTGTCAGCTGAGTATATTCAAACAAGTGCTATCCCTGGTTTGTGCTGGTGGGTGAAGAGGGGCGTGGAGCAGTGAAGTGACTCTCCCAAGGTTGCAAAACCCTGACGGCCCTGCAAACTGAAGAACTCTTTACTCACATGGCAGCATGGGCAGGAGCAGCCAATGCTTCTCTCATGCTGTTTCCTTACAGATAGCTTAGTCCTAGCCTTTCGGGACTTGTCTCCAGGGGTAACAGTTTATTAACCTGTTCAGCCTTTAGTCTGCAGAAACTTCCAGCAAGCTGACAGGTTACTGCCGAAAGTGAAATAGCTGGTCCTTATGATGATGGTGTGCCTGGGTGAAGACTGCTAGCGATTGCCCTCCTCTGGCTGCTTTTCGAAGAGCTCTAAGGTGATGTCAGCTCTGTCATGGCTGGCTGAGTAGGATTTGTGTAAGTCAATGTTCTCTGTCCTATCCCTAAGGCTGTCTGGTATGGAATTTCCTAAAGGTGAAGGATCAGATTGTGCTGTGGGTTTACCTGCACGTGACTTTCCTGTGTCAGGATGAAAGTCTCCCAGGCTAGAGATCCCTGAGCTGCAGGTGATACCTAGGGAAGTGCATAAAAGACACTTGTTACCCTTCCACCAGCTCTCCAACCTGTATTGGGACTGTATACCAGAAGGGAGGCCTTCATAGACAAACAGGTCCAAGACCTGGGAGCAGGAGTGGAGGAAGGCGTGTTGAACTGAGCTTCAGGAATGAAGAGGCTGAGCAGGGGCTCAGGCAGGGAGTCAGGAATTAAAGACAGTGTTCATGTGGATGAAATGAAGCTACTGACCCATTCGTATCAAGAGAATTTGAAAACCTGTTTAAATATCTGAATTAATGAAATGGCCAATTTCACAGGAAGGCCATGAAGTAGTGTTGGGGGTAGCATCTTTAACCAAAACTAAACATGAAGGAAATTGAGACTGCAGCCAGGACCAGGGGTGGTTATGAGGGACATGGAAACAGACAGGGTGATCCCAGAGGCCTAACCTTTATGAGACTGGCATCTGGCAGCCTATTCATTGTGGTGTTTTAGAGGTAGGCAGATGGGCTTTGTTTCTTTTGTGTGGAAGCAGGTAGTGCTGGGTGCTGAATTTAAACCTTTATTTCAATCAATAAGTAACAGATATGGTTAACTCCCAAATTTTGTTATAAGTTGGTTTGTTTTTTGTGATTGAGTCTTTTTTTTTTTTTTTTAAGATTATTTAGTTAGTTGAGAGGCAGAGTTACAGACAGAGAGGGAGAGTCAAAGTAAAAGATCTTCCATCTGCTACTTTACTCCCCAAAAGACCACAACAACCAGAGCTGAGCCGATCCAAAGCCGGGAGCTTCTTCCAGGTCTCCTACACGCATGCAGGGGCCCAAGCACTTGAGCCGTCTTCCACTGCTTTCCCAGGCTATCAGCAGAGAGCTGGATTGGAAGAGGGGCAGTTGGGACACAAACCAATGCCCATGTGAAATTCAGGTGCCACAGACTGAGGCTTGGCCTACTGTGCCACAGTGCCAGCCCATGTGATTGAGTCTTTATGAACTTTATTGTGTCATCAGAGAATAGTTGACCCCCTTTTTTTATGATACCTGTTATTTACAGTAATGTTTATAAGCGTAAGAATATTAAAATGGATGTAGGTATGGTTATATTTAAAAAGAGCAAACATGTTCGCTTTAAAAATATAGTTAATTATGATGGGGAGTTATGATTATGATAGTGTGATTCATAAGCTGTTTACAAGTACAGATGTATTTTGCTTTTTGGGTAGTCTCACTTTATGGAATAGTAATATGGCTCCTGGTAAAAGTGAAACAGTTTAGCAAACAGGTTTGGGCTAGTTGAAACAAATCGGCAGGTAGGCTCATAGAACAGTTACAAAGAAGACGGTGCTCTCTGGTGGCTTCCTTTCTGCCTCCTCTGCTACCAAGAATGTTGTTTTACTAGTTAGTTTTTAGTGTAATGATTTTACTCCATGTCCCTCACCCAGTGAGTATTTGTAGTGTAGAATCAATGCCGTGGGCCTGAGTTTGATTGTTGCTTCATCATTAGAGGTTTTCCAGTGAATTAATTGAAGAGAAGGAGAAATGATGAGTTTTCCACTAATTCATTGGCTGAAATAACAAGTTTCCTAATGATTCATTTCCACTAGTTTCTTAGTTCAGACTAAATATTCACAACTTAATTGCATTAGCAAAATAGGGTGCAGAAATGATACTTCCTTGTCATTGAGTATTTCCCTTAAGATTATAATATAGCCACATCAACATTTATCTGATGAAACTGATTTTCTGTGCTCCTAGAGCTTGTGTTTCTGCAACCTCGGTCTCAGAGCTTCCTTCCTTCCATTGGTGTTAGGAGACAGCAGATCCTAGTGGTTGGATGTAGGCTTTAGGTTAGCCCCTGGGTTTGAAATCTCTTAGGTGTTTAGGTAATCTTGGCAAGTTACTCAACTGCTTTAAGTGTTAGTTCCTTCATCTGTGAGATAAGAGTAAGTCTCAGAGCTGTGAAAATTGACTATGATATGTGCAAAGCATTTAGTATAATGCTTAATACATAGTAAGACTTTCGAAAGCAGGAGTGATTATTATTAAAAGGATTTGAAGTGTAAGAGTCTAGCAGGCTGGAGTAACCGTGTTAATAGTTGTTTGGAATTAATAAAAACTAAGATTTAGATGCTTCTCATATGCAAAGTACTTTTCTGGTTGCTGCTGTAATCCTTGTGTAGTTGCAAATCTGAAAAGCTTCTAGTATTCTTTGATTTCTGGCCCATCATTCTCCACCATTCATGCTTATATTTTTTGGTCCCAAATCACCATTCCTTATGAAACCAATCAAATGCATTCTTATGTGCGTGATGTTGTCAGTATCCATCTACATCTACCATGTCCAGGTCCAACTCTATCTTCTCTATGGTGGTCTAATTTTTGCTGAGCCTTAGAGCCAAAGACAGACTCTAGGGGTTGATATGGGACCTCCAGGATGGGGATTGCACAGAATAATCTTATTTTTCCTCTATTCTTCTAGTCTGTTATGTTCTGAACCCACACATGTTTTCGGAAGGACCAGATGGCTGACACTGGCTAATGGGAACCAAAAGACAAGAGTGAAAGTAACCTGGTTGTCACATACCCCCACCTTAGAGGTGCTTCACCCTGCCCCAAGGTCAATTCCTTTTTCCCTGGAGACTTCACCCCGCTGTGTCAAAAAACTGTACTACAGCATGGCTTATCTGAGGCTAGAGCACCACTAAGGCAACTACATTTGTCAAATGAGAAAAGACTGTACTCGGGACCATGGAGAGAAGCATCAGCCTGTAAAAGGCAGTGAGTGAGCCTTACGTTTTCCAGTCATGGATCTGAGTTCAAATGCAGCTCCACCACTCCTTAGCTTGGGGACAAAAAGCTACTTGTTTAGCCTCTCTAAGCCTCAGTTTTCTCATTATAAAATGGAAATAATAATAATAATATATTCATATTTGATATAAGGAATCAATGTAATATTATGGATAAATTATTTACCATGTGCTAAATACCCAACATGCACTAGCTCTGTTGTTATTGAAGAGCTCATAATCAAATGAGAAGGCAGGCACAACGGAAAGAACAAGGCTTGAAGAGCCACAAAAGCATGCACGTAAAGCATAAAATTGAAATGCTAAAATGTTTGAACTCAGGCAGTTTTCTAGGGACTCATGAAAAGAGGTAAACTCTCAGACATGGGAAAAGATTGACGTGATTTAACTTGTGTAGTCAGGTGTTCCAGGTTTAGAGAATGAATTTAAAAAGTTCTTCAGGGGTCATTCTAGATGTCTAAGCAAAAGAATGATTTAGCTGAGTTTCGCTGATATAAAGGGACACATTGATTAAGTAAAAATAGCTGCATCCTAGAATTACATCTGTTGGTCAGACAGGTAGAGACAGCCCTGAGTGCCCAGCAAAATGAGAAAACTGGAACTTGTCAGTAGACCCAGTTCGAAACCCAAGAGAACTTGTCAAAAGCGATTTCAAGGTTGTTGGGAGTGAATTAGATGGTTAGGGGATCCAGAAGAGAGAAATCATGAGGTAGGTTTTCTTCTTTGAAGGTGGGGAAAGATCAAGTGCAGACTGAGCTGTGGCCAACGTGTGCAGACCAGGAATCCACACTAGCTCTAATCAGAAAGCTCTTGGTGTGCGGAACTGCCAGTTTGCCGACGTGAAAAGAGCCCCAGACTGGGTAATGGTGAGCCCTGAAGTCGCACCCCAGCTCTGCCACTCAGTGAGCACGGGTAAGTCATCCACCTTCTCCGGGTGGCCTTGATGGCCCTCCCTCCTTTGAGGCTAAAGAAAGGGAGGCCAGAATGCCCAGAGCAGCCTCCTTCCCATCTCAGGATAGGCAAGGGTCTCAGGAGCCTACTCCTGTGTTTGCAGCTCCAGTAGTGGGTTATAAAGAACCCTCCGGCACTGGGAAAGTCAACTGCAACCGTAATCACTGGCCCTGAGCGGTCGAGGCGGCATCTGTTAATGCTGTGAGGGCCCCACGCTGCCGGTCCCCGAAAGCTGCCTGCCTTTGGAATCGGGAGCAGCTACACCGTTACGTTCACGTGCCTCACGTGCGCATGGGAGTTGGTTGCAGACGTGTCTTTCTATGTTCTCCAAGCACTTGCCTTAAGCAGACAGTGAAAATTACTGTTTTTATTGCCATCCTGTCCATGTGTCCTAACTTTTTTCACCTCCTAAGACCAAGTTGGTTGAAGTGTAGGACCAACACTGAGTGCTTTGACAGAAAGCTGTTTGATTCCTGTTCACTGAATGCCATTTCTTTCAGGGCAGACTTAAGGGCCCTGCCCTTAAAATACAGTGCTACTGACTCTAGATTGAGGGTTCAAGCCACCCGTGGGTTAACTTCAACAGATGAACATTTTTCCTTGGCTACAGCAACATCCCTAAGCCTGACCAGCCATGGAGAGGTTCGGTTCTTACCAGGAAAATGAGTGAATGTGGGAATGGCTCACCACATTGGGAAAACAAAACACATCCTGCTGATGGTTGGCTGAGGACTGTCATGTCCACATACAAAGAAAAAGCATGTGGCACAGTTTTAGGACAAAGGTGAGCAGAGATCCACCGTGGAAAGGGGCACATTTTTCTTTTAGAGAGAATATGGAAGGCATGCCCCTCGGTAAGCAGCGTTGGTGGGTGACGCAGTCACACGCATGGAGGCTTGCTTTCCCTGCTCCTCATGTCCACTCCCCAGCAGATTCTGGTGGCGCACCCTGGTCACCTGCCCGTTAAGCCACTGACCGGCCTGTCTCCAGAGCAAGTCCTGCTGCTTGCTCCTCGCTGTTGACAGGGTTCTCCAGTCTCCCTGCTCAGGGCAGGTGTGTGGAAGACAGAAGAGCCTGCACTGTTCTGAAAGGGGGAGTCAATTCCACATTCTTTTCTGGAGAACTTGCAAGCCTGAGGGTGTTTGGGACCCACCATTGGTGAGGGTTGTTAGGATAAGAAAATGCCTGTTTAACAACAGTATGGGTTCAGGTAATGAACCTTGCGTAAAGAAGCATGATTAACATTTCTAAAATTGAAATCTTGGAGTACCTTAGTTTAAAAAACATGTCCCTCTAGCTCTGCCTTTTCAGGGTTCTGACTGCTAACTTGAGCAGTATACCATCTATTACGTGAGGAAGACTAGAGCATTGGCACAGGGACAGGAATGGAATAGAATTCAGAACAGACCATGCAGTGCAGTGTGGCTTGTTGGTTTGTGGCATCCAGATACCTGTCTATTCTTGGTAAAAGTCACAGTGCCCACTTTTTTTGGGGGGAAGACAGCAACTTCCCTCTCTCCCCCTCATTCTTTTGACCATACTTTTCAGGATAGAATGTGACCAGAGAAGAGTTTGGGAAGAGGCAGTGATAGAGAAATGAAGAAAGGAGTTGTGTTTTTTAATGGAAGAGTGTTGTGCATTTATTAATAAGGCCACACTTTTTAGCCTTTCATATAAGATAGGGGGAGAAAGATTGAAAGATGGGGCACCTGAGAGTAAGATGAGGCATATTGGAGGCTTCTTTGTGTTTTTATCAATCCCTGGTATAGAAGAATTTTTTAAATTTGTCAGATTCATTCTCCTGACTCCTTCATCCTCTTCATTTTCATACTAAAATTACTGAAAAATGTTCTTCATTTTTAACAGCAGAAGAGGAAAGGTGTCTGTAGTTAAAATTAGAGAAATGTATCTGTTTGGTTATGTTTTGTGTAGCTTTTTTGCAGATCCCACAGACATGCATACCTATGGTATACATATGCGCACGCACACATCCAGCCGTGTACATGTGCACGTGTGTATTGTATATCACTCCTTACTTTGACCAAGATTGAAAAGAAGCTAGCTTTTGGAGAGAAGAGACTAGTATCATTTTATTTACTGACAAGCACAAAGGGAATGTTAAGACTGATTTCAAAAGACTCTGATGTTACTTACCAAGAAGTGCATTTTACTTTGTTGAATGCACTAAAATTTAATTCAGGGACAGTTAAAATGTTTCAATAAAAACTAAAATTGGAACCCATACATAGTATTAAAAGGTATTTTAGATAACAAAAATTAAAGTTACCCTGACACTGTCTAGTGTCACCATCTTGGTACAGGCCTGCCAGACTTTAAATTATCCATTGTTAACCCACAGGAATTTGTTTTTAACATTTATCTATGATACTTTTTGTGTTATGAAATACCTTACATTTAGTATAGCTCCCACATTTCATAGTAAACTAAGACTCAGAAAAGTAAAATGATTTAAATATGCTATTTACAGTTGGTTTCTGACAGAACCGTAACTTGAGCCCAAACTAGTTCCTTCATTTTTTGAAAGAACAACAGAGAGAGAAATTCCCATACACTAGTTCACTCCCCAAATGCCTGTAATAGCTGGGGCCAGGCCAAACCAAAGCCAAGAGCCAGGAACTCTATCCAGAATTCCACATGGGTGGCAGGGACCCAGGTACTTGGGCCATCATCTGCTGCCTCCCAGGTGCACAAAAGCACAGTCTGCTAGGGGATGCAGGTTTCCCAGGTGGCAGTTTAACTGCTGTACCAGTGCCCACCTGAGATCAGTTCTTAGTTCTCCAGTCTTAATAGTTGTGAGTTTGAGCTCTAGACTTTGAGTGCTCTGATGGTTTTTTCCATGCAAGTTATTTAACACTGCCTCAGTCTACTCATCTGTCAAATGGGAATAATAAGAAATGGCTCTTGGATGCCAAGAATATTAAGATAACATTGTCTAGTACATAGAGATTATTTAACAAGTGTTAGGTAACATTTTGTAGTTATTTAATATTCCTGCCTTATTTGAGGGACTTAGTCTGTTTCTTGAAGGCAACAGTCATTCCTCAAGGAAAGCAGATGTAACTAGACAGTAACTTAATAAGAGCAACAGTGCTGGTCTGGAGTTGGCTTTACTCTCAGCAGGAGTCCCTGCTGGGTATGGTTTGGTACTTGTTTCAATCTTCCAGACTACCCAGCATGTTAGTGGCAGAGAACAGTGATAGTCGGGTACCCAATTTGATCCTTGGTCTGGACTTTGATATTAAAATGTTCCAAATAAATTTTGTGGCCTTTCTTTGAGGAATAGCCAAAATTTTTCTGAAAAATAAAATTGGATCTCAAGTCAGCTATTTTAATAACTGACTTGGATACCCAAAAAAATTGGCTAGTGAATGACCCATTTGTTGGAACTTTTCAGAAGTGAATACTACCAAGGAGCTGTAATAGGCCGTTTTCTTCTAGCAGTAATCATCCCTGTAGCTCAGGGACCAGTGTTACTGACAAGATTTGCTTTGGTTCAGCCTCAGCTTACAAAGAAAGATCAGTCTGAGCACTAATTTTTATTTTAAAATAATTGCACCTCTGCTGAATAGATTGTCTTTGCTTTCTCTGAAAGGCCAGAGTAAGTTGTACATGTCCACCTTGTATCAGGATGGGCGTGCGCAGGGTGATCTTTGAGTGTGGGAGAGGAAATGCCATGGAGACCCGACAGAGGCCTCACCGGTCTCAGCAGCAGCCAGGCTGTTAGGTCAGGTGCCCTGCAGAGCTTAAGGCCCTGCATTCTGTGACACACTTCCCCCCACGTGGTTAGAAAGCTTAAACATGTTAAAGAAAACAGTTTGGATTTTCTGTCCTCAGGAGTCAGTGCTGTCCTTCTCACATCACACTAGGTCATTCTGGTCATGGAGTGGTGGCAAGCCAGCGGGTCCTTCTTAGGGGAGGGGAAGTATTGCATCACACTGGGTGGAGGGTTTCCCTCATCCCTGCCCACTTGGTGTCAGGCTGTCACATGGTGCCGAGAGCAAATTCAGGATTGGTCTTCACAATGAAATTAAAGAAGGCACATTTTCTGTTTCCAGTCTATTTAGAGATAAACCAAAGGAGAAAATGGGTTTTTGTTGTTTAATTTTTGTCTCTGAAAATAATAGTGTAACTTTTCTGATGACCTGTTCTACCTAGGAAAGGAGAAAGCAGCTACATTATAACATCTCTTAGAGATGTTTAGTGACTGAAAACCACTTTTGAACATAGTGATTTGGAGAGGCTTTGCTTTCCTTGACAACTATAATAGCAAATTCAGAATCATCCTTACTAAGCTGCTTAGCAGTTCCAGCCTATGGAAGCGTGAAGCCATGTTGCAAAGACTTCATAGCCCATTTACTGAGCAAGTTTTATGGGTTTCTGAATTGTGTTACAGCAAAACACTTCCCATTAAATAATGGATGTGTCTGTTAATTTTTTTTTCATGGAATTGAGAGGCAGTGGCCCTTAGAGTTTGAATGCCACTCAAACATTTCCATATAGAGACCCTTCCAAACCTAGTACATGGTCACCTTGAGAGACTCTTAGGAACTCTTCAGTAAAGGAGAACTTGAGCAATTGGATTCCCTCATTTATTTAACTTTGTCAACAGCTTGGATGAGCCCCTGCAAGAACTGAACTGTTTTTAGAGTATCAGTATGTTTCAGTGCAGGGCAACACTAACCAGTGCTTGTGTGTACACAGGGCTTCTTAGGGTGTCCACAGATTGCTTGAACCTTTCCTTTGTGATTAGGTGTGATCAGTAAATGGTTTATCGATAAAAGCCATGATCACACTTTCCACAGCTGTGCTAGGTGAAACTAAGTATTTATTGATTTATTGATGACACAGTTTGTAGGACTTTTTTTAACCTTTCTTGGAGGTACCTTATAAATTTTGTGCTTTACTTTTATAAGTTATATTCTATAATCAGCAGGACTGGGGGGAGGGTCTTTCCAGAAATGTATTAAACCACCAGTCCTGCTAGGGAATTGCTAGAAGTGCATAAAAGGAAGTTTACACAGTTTTCTGTAGATTTTAGAGAATCTAGCCTATCTATAACTTTGTAAAAATAATTTGGAATCTCTCAGAGAAGTAAATAGCTGCATTTTTTTGTCTGAAATTTCTAGAACAGTTAATTGTCTTGTTACTAATTTGAATATTGACACCTTATATCAGGCATCCCCATGGAGGTCTTTGTAGTTGCCACCAACCACTCTGGGGGAGGGGGGCCAACCAGAGAATTGTTCTGTATATCAAGCCACTCTCCTAGCAAGATAGGAATCGGAAGAAGTCTCCCTGCCTCCTACAGTGCCTATTGGCACAAAGCAAAGTGGTTTCCACTAAAGAGAAGAGAAAATTGATCCTTAGTTCGCAAAACCCACCTAACCTTTGCTAAGCATGAACCTCATTGCTCTCTCTTGATGTTAGTGAAGCCGGATGTCACAGTGATACCAACCTCGGTTTTGTTTGCTCTCTCCTAGGTATGGTTTTGTGGAGTTTGATGATCTGCGCGATGCAGATGATGCTGTTTATGAACTCAATGGCAAAGACCTTTGCGGCGAGCGAGTGATTGTCGAACACGCCCGGGGCCCACGTCGGGATGGCAGTTACGGCTCTGGACGCAGTAAGCATTCACAGGGCGTATTTGTATCCATGACGTGCTTGGTTATCAAATGCTAATTTTTTAAAGAATTAGTATTATATTTATATTTAAATGTATTGATGTTTAAGCCATTTGTTTTATAAATTATCTTTTTTAAATGTAGAATTGCAAGTATTTTTGGTAATGTGTAATTTTAATTGGCATAAATTTCTTGTTTTAATGCTTTATAAAATGTTAATGATGTGTTTGTGTTATTTTTTTTCCCTCTGTAATGCAATTGTTTAACATAGATTTAACAAAGACCTCAATGTTTTAATTAAAAGAATCCTTTGAGGCTAAGATGACTGCCTGTTCCATTTGCTGACCTTGGGTTACCTTTCCATGCGTGGCTCTTTGAACCATTGTGGCCCTTGGCTGACCAAAAACAGGAAGCCATGTGACGACCGCAACCTTTCCCCATTAGACCTGGGTGGTGAGGATCCCAAGGGTTAGACACAGATGAGATTAAACTGAAATAGGTGCCTGAAAATCTTTTTTCTATAAAATTTTCACAAAAACTTTAATCACTGAGTAACACCAGTAACTGATAAAGTAACTTGGTTACTTATTTCTAAACTGTTAATAGCTTTTAATTTATGCATGTTAATTTTTAAATATAAATATTAATGAATATATACTTACAACATTGTAAATTAAATTTTTGTGTTTAACTCATAGCTTTCTTAAAACTTAGTTTAGAACTACGGGTGGGTTTGGAGTAAAAATACATGTGCTGTTGTTTGGGTAGAGATAAATCATAAGTGTAAGGGGTTAAAGGGACAGGGTGTTGTCGGGAGTTTTTTGTTGATTTTTTTTCTCCCCCTTTTCCTGCACTGAAGTAATCTCATCTCTTTGACTCTTCCTAAGGTGGCTATGGTTATAGAAGAAGTGGCCGAGATAAATATGGCCCTCCCACCCGCACAGAGTACAGACTTATTGTGGAGAATTTGTCAAGTCGGTGCAGCTGGCAAGATCTAAAGGTTTGGGCCTCATTAGCCTTCTGGGATAAAATTGGGCAGGACTTAAGGTTGGGAAACAGGTACATTTATGTAGACCAGGCATACACAGACTATAGTGGTGGTGTTTATTTGAAACCTTCTCAGAGCATTTTGGATATTCTCCAATTAAAGATTCTGTAGGAGTACAAAAGACATGAAAATTTTCATTCATTTATATATTGGACCATCGCTCTAAGAACAAATATATGTTACGTGAGATTTTTCTCTGCAGAGAATCTTATAGGGACATACATGTGTGGTTCTCAGTAATAAGGAGGAGGTTGGGTCCACCAGTGTTGCCCATGTTAGCTGTAACATGAAACTTTAGGTCAGCTTCCAGCATGGATCCTCATTGGTAGACTTGGTCATCTGACCTGGTTCTCATGAGATTTGTTTTCCAGCTGTTATTTGTCCTGAATCTCAATGAGAAACTTACAAGTAGTATCCTAAGCGGAGTGATCTTACGAAGACAAATGAAAGGGATATTCAGTTTCCTGGGTTACTTCTCAGCTTTTTGGTCCTTCATTAAACAAGTCATTTTTAACAAACTGAGGTAGTATATTTAGGCTAAGAAAAATTAGGGGAACTGGCACTGTGGCGTAGTTGGTTAAGCCACCACCTGCGATGCCAGCATCCCATATGGGCACCAGTTTGAGATCCAGCTGCTCTACTTTTTTTTTTTTTTTTTTTAAGATTTAGTTATTTATTTGAAAGAGTTACACAGAGAGAGGAGAGGCGGGGTTGGGGAGGGGGGGAGTCTTCCATCCACTGGTTCACTCCCCAATTGGCCTCAACAGCCGGAGCTGCACTGATCCGAAGTTTGGAGCCAGGAGCTTCTTCAGGTCTCCCATGTGGGTGCAGGGACCCAAGGACTTGGGCCATCTTCTGCTCTCCCAGGCCATAGCAGAGAGCTGGATCTGAAGTAGAGCAGCCAGGACTTGAACCAGCACTTATATGGGATACCTGCTACGCCACAGCACTGTCCCCATTGATCCAGCTCCCTGCTAATGGCCTGGGAAAAACAGTGGAAGATGGCCCAAGTCTTTGGACCCCTGCCACCTATGGAAGCAACCTAGAAGAAGCTCCTGGCTCTTGGCTTTGGCCTGGCACAGTCCTGGCCATTGCAGCCATTTGGGGGGAGTGAACAAGCAGATGGAAGATCTTTATCTCTGTAACTCTGCCTTTCAAATAAATAAAAAACTAAATCTTTTTAAAAAAAATTAGGACTTTTTCTCAGGCATATAGTTTTAATTTAAAGCACTAAACATCCACCGCTCCCCCCACCCCCCGCGCCGCCTTTTTTTACTTTGTTCTCAACAACCTTCAGCTGATGAAAATGAAATCCAGAAACAGTTAAGTCACACACTTGGTCTTAGCAAAGAGCTGCCACCAGGACTCTTGATTCCTAGTCTGATGTTTGCTCTAGTACAGTGTGGTGATTGTCGGCTTTATAGCAAAATCTGTACTGAATGTCTGCCGGCACGATCATGCTTGCTAGAGAAATGACTCCAGCATTCTGAGAGTTAGAGGTTGAACATTGTGGACGAAAACTGGAAAAGGTGGAACCAGCATTTTGGTATAGCTGGCAAAGCTGCCACCTGCAATGCCAGCATCCCACGTGGGTGCCAGTTTTGAGTCCTGATTGCTCTACGTCTGATCCAGCTCCCTGCTAATGCTCCTGGGAAAGCAGAAGATGGCCCAGGTCCTCCTGGCTTTGGCCTGGCCCAGCCCTAGCCATTGTGACCATTTGAAGAGTAAACCAGTATATAGAAGATTTTGTCTAACTCTGTGTTTCAAATAAATATATCTTAGGAAAAAGAAAAGTTTATTTTGGTACAAAAAAAAAAAACTTGAATCCACACATGGCTTTTTTTTTTTTTTTTTTCCATAATATACATTCCATGAACTTTTTGAATACCCTGTGTATGTGTGGATATCAAAAAAACTTTGCACCAAAATAAGCATAGCTTTTAAACAACTTTTAAAATTACATTTCTTAGAGAGAGAGAGCTCCCATTCACTGGTTCGCTCCGAAAATGCCTGCTGTACCTGGGGTTCAATAGGGACCAAAGACAGAGCCAGGAACTCAATCCAGGTCTCCCATGTGGGTACCAGGGCCTATCACCACTGCTTCTCAGAGCCCACACTGGCAGGAAGCTGGAGCCAGAAGCCGATTGTCAAACCTTGATACTCAGCAGAGAGCATGGACGTCTTAGCTGCATTGCCAAATGCTGGTTCCTCTTTAAGTAGGGATACTATTAATTTCTACTCAAGGTTATTTTTTTTTTTAAGATTTATTTATTTATTTGAAAGTCAGAGTTTTGCAGATAGAGAAGGAGAGGCAGAGAGAGGTCTTCCCCAATTGACTGCAATGGCCAGAGCTGCGCCGATCCGAAGCCAGGATCCAGTAGCTTCAAGAACTTGGGCCATCTTGTACTGTTTCCCAGGCCATACATAGCAGAGAGCTGGATCAGAAGTGGAGCAGCCAGGACTTGAACTGGCGCCCATATGGGATGTTGGCACTACAGGCGGCGGCCTTACCCACTAGGCCACAGTGCCGGCCCTTCAAGGTTATTTTGAAAGTGAAGTGAATTTTTATATAAGCCTACAGTGGTTCCTGGTGCAATAATATCTAGCTATTAATAAAGGAAATGTAAAAAAAAAATATTGTTTTAATTAAAGATTCATTTATTTATTTGAAAGGCATTTACAGAAAGAGCATAATGGAGAGATAGAGAGATCTTCCATCCACTGATTCACCCCCCCAAAATGGCCACAATAGCCAGGGCTGAGCCAGGCTGAAGCAGGGACCAGGAGTTTCTTCCAGGGTCTCCCACATAGGTGCAGGGGCCCAAGCACTTAGACCATGTTCTGCTTTCCCAGGCACATTAGCAGGGAGCTGAACCAAAAGTGGAGCAGCCGGGTAGGACTTGAGCTGACGGCCATGTGGGATGCTGGTACTGCAGGCCCCAGCTTAACCTGCTGCACCACAGTGCCAGCCCCCAAAATAAAACAAATTTAAGGGCTCTTGTGGGGCCGGCCCTGTGGCTTAGGAGGTCAAGCCACGGCCTACAGCTTCAGCTGCTCCATTCCCTGCCAATGGGCCTGGAAAAGCTGAGGAGGAGGCCCAAGTGCTTGGGTCCCTGCATCCCTATGGGAGACCAGAAGAAGCTCCTGGCTCCTGGCTTCAGCCTAGCTCAGCCCCAGCCTTTGTGGCTGTCTGGGGAGTGAACCAGCGGATGGAGGTTCTCTCTTTCTCTCTCTCTTCCCTTCTCCCCCTCCCTCTCTTTACCCTCTTTCTGTCCTCTCCTCCCCTTTTCTCCCCTCCTCTCACCTTGTCTCTCTCTCTCACTCCCCTCTTCATAACTCTGTCTCTCAAATAAGTAAAAAAGAAACCTTTAAAAACAATAAAACCACTTTACCTACAATCTTTTTTTTAAAAACCTCGTTAGTTTTTTAAAAATGTATAAATTTATGCCCAAGATGGTCACATTGAGAATTGGCAGTTGACCCATAGTGCTACTGCAGATTCCAGAGGCTCACGGCTTCTGTTCAGACCTTGGCTCATTCACTTACTACCCTCATTACCTTGAGAATTTCTTTAATACCTCTGTTTTACTTCCCACACCTCTAAAATGGAGTTAGTGATTGTATCTTTCTGATGTGATTGTAATTAGGACTAAATTAATTGAAACTCACCTATCATGCAGTATACATTCAATATGCTAGATGCTCTCATTACTAGTTCAGAAGTTTGGCAGTCTAAAACAAAGTGGGCGGGCATTGTGGTGCAGCAGGTTACACTGTCTCTTGGGTTACCTGTACGCCACAGAGCAGAGTGCCGATACATCTAGTTCCGACCCCTTCATCTCCAATCCAGCTTCCTGCTGACGCTCACCGGTCAGCACTTGGGTTCCTGCCACTCATATGGGAGACTTTAGGCGGAGCCAGCCCAGCTGTTGCGGGCACTGGGAGAGTACACCAGCAGATAAAAAGTCTTTCAGTCTCTCCCTCCTTTGTCACTCTGCCTTTCCAGTGTATAAATCTTTTTTAAAAATGTATGATTTAAAATATAAATTTTAAAAATACAAGTTGTATGATCTTGTATAAATAAAGAACTTACTACTGTAAAATTAAGAGAATGATAGTTAAAACGTTTATATTCTTACACAACTGTATTTTGAAAGAGCAGTATCATCGCCGCCGCCCACCTGCTCACCTGGTCCTTTAGAGCCTCGGGAGGTGGCAGGCAGACGGCAGTGTTAAGGAGTAAACTTCATTCTGAAGAAAGCGGGCATCTTCCTAAAGGGAAGGAAAAGCCTTTGGTTATGGGGATTACATTAGAGGTTTTGGCAAAGCATGTCCTAACTTGCGCATTTTCTTTTCTCTAGGATTACATGCGTCAGGCAGGAGAAGTGACCTATGCAGATGCTCACAAGGGTCGCAAAAACGAAGGGGTGATTGAATTTGTATCTTACTCTGATATGAAAAGAGCTTTGGAAAAGTTGGATGGAACAGAAGTCAATGGCAGAAAAATAAGATTAGTTGAAGACAAGCCTGGCTCTAGACGACGCCGATCCTACTCCAGGAGCCGGAGTCATTCGAGGTACTGTGGTGTGTTGGCGCTCTCTGTGAACTCACCAGTGAGCAGCACACAGATGAGCTGTGGACATTCCCCTTTGGAGTTCTCAGTAACACGATCCTGTCTGGTTCAGTAACGCAGAACTTTGAACTGAACATTCGTTTGTAGAACTCTGAAACTCTTACGTCATGCGTACAAACAGAAGTCAAGTCCCTTCTTTGACGTTCTGACTTGACTCCCAGGTCTTTCCCTCTCTGGGGACACACACAGCCACCGGGCCCTTGGGTACTCTCCCAGATAGACCACCCACTCACAGGTGGAGACTGCGTCAGGGCAGACAGTGGACTCAGCATGTGTGAGCAAGGCAAACATGGTCCCTGACCTCAGAAACTCAGGCCAGTGGAGAAGACAGGCATTGAGCAGATAATTGCCATTGGGACAGGCTTGTCACAGGAAATGCACACAGTGCAGCCGGTCGAGGCTGGCAGAAGCCGAGCTGTAAGAGATGGGTGGAAAGAGTGAGCAGGAAGCAGAGGAAGAAGTGCCTTTGTAGCAACACGAAGCACGTGGGGGGGAGGGGCAGAGAGTCTCCCCGAGGAGACTGACGTAGGGAGGGGCCAGGAGGAGAGTGGCTGGGGATCAAGTGGAGAAACAGCCGGGTGAGGGTGTAAGCAGAGCAGGGTTCTGCAGACTTAGAAGCTTTTCTGAAGTTGTTTAGGTTTTTAACCCTTTAAATACATAGAGCATTGGAAAATATCATCTATTGAATGCTGAATCCCATTAAACTTATCACGCTACAACTGATTTTCTCAGTGTTGTTTCATGACCCCCTCCTGCTGGGTTCATTTTAAGGCAGATCTGAGCAGCCTGTAGCTCACGTGTAGGCACTCCCTGTCTCTAATGTGCTACAAACAGGTGTAACAACAGCATGGCTAGCAGTGATTCCGTATTATTGTTTAGTACCCAGTTTGTATTCTGATTTTCCCAACTGTCTCAAACACATATTTTTGCAGTTGGTTGGTTCAGACTCAGATCCCATGTAGAATCACATTGCACTCATATGATGTGTCCCTTAATTCTACATCTAATCATTGGCATATCTATCAGGCTTTTTATTTGCCATACATTTAATTATCAAAGAGACAGGGTCGTCTGTTGTAAAGATTGCCCAGGTTTAGCTTGCTGAGGACACCCTTGTGGTAAGAGTTGAGCACATTCCCGTACCCTGCCCCTGTGTTTCCTGTGAGCATAGTTAGATCTTGAGACTTCAGAGAAGTGGCAGCATTTTATGTATCAAGACTTCATTGGTAGAACTCGTACCTCCTGTTGACCACTTCACATACCGTGTCTGCACGTCCGCCTTGGAATGTTGGAGCTGGCTCAGTGCAGGGCTGGTATTGTATCAGCAGCACCCACATCAGAGCCTGTACTGCTTCCCTTCCCATGCAGCGCCCTGCCGATGCCTCAGAAAGCAGCAGACTGCGCGGGCCCCTGCTACCCACCTAGGAGACCCAGATGGAGTTCTGAGTCCTGACTTTGGTCTGGCCCGGCCCTGGCCATTTGGGTAGTGAACCAGCAGGAAGTCAATCAATCTCTCTCTCTCTCTCTCTCTCTCTCTCTCTCTTATGTTCTTTCTCTCTCTCCCCTCTTTTCAAATAACAAATAAAATCTTAAAAAAAAAAAAAAAAAAGAAACTTTGCATTCAGGCCAGGAGCCAGCCCAACTTCACCAACTTGCAGAGTGTTAGATGCCCCCTGGGAACCTCCAAAGATGGTGACAAGCGTGGTTGCTTGGTATCAGTATGAATGAATCCTTGGATGCTTATACATTTGTAGTTCGTCTGTTGGTCATCATTTGCCTTGTGCAGATTTGGTCATTGGGCATCCCTTCAGCTGGCTCCTGTGTCTTCAGTGTCATTTTTGTTTTTACTGTTTCCCTTTTCCTTTTATTTTGAAACATACAAGGTGAAGGAATGGTTTGTGAATACCTGTGTGCTCTCCTGACTAAAGCATTTTGCCACCTTTTCTTCCCCCCTCTCTGTATTCATGTATGTATATATTTACACACACACACAAATATGCTGTACATTTATTTTGCCGTAATATTTGAAAGCGAGTCATAGAAATTATGACACTTTACCAATAAATACTTTAGCATATGTGCCCTAAAATGTCAATAACCACAGTTCTATATTGTCACCTAATAGCATTAACAGTACAAGATTCCATTAGTCACCCAATATCCAGGCCATATCCAGAGTTCCTCAGTTGCCCCATGTGTTTTGTTTTGTTTTGTTTTGTAAGATTTATTTATTTGAAAAGCAGAGTGACAGCCAGCAATCTCCCCAAATGGCCACAGCGGCTGGCGCTGGGTCAGGCTGAAGCCAGGAACCAAGAACTCCACCCAGATATCTCATGGGAAGCAGGGGCCCAGTATTTGGGCCATCTTCCACTGCTTTCAGGCGCATTAGCGAGAAGTCGTGTTGGAAGAGGAGCAGCCAGGGCTGGAAGCCGCATTCCACTATGGGGCGCTGGAGCGCCAGGTGGCAGCTTGATCTGCTGCACCAACGCCAGCCCTTCAGTGGGTAATCCAGGCCAGTTACGTGCTGTGCAGAGTTTTTAGGTCTCCAGTCTGGAGCAGTCCCACTCTCTTTTCGACCCTGTGACATTTATGTTTCTCTGCTGGGGAGGAGCGTTAGTTTGTTTTCAAGAGGCAGAGACAGAGACCAAACAGAGCTCCTCAGTGCCTGCAAAAAGCCAGCAGAAGCTGGGAGCTAGGAACTCAGTCTGGATCACCTGTGTGGGTGGCGGAGACTCAACTGCTGGGGCTGTCACCCGCTGCCTCCTGAGGTGTGCGTTAGCAGGAAGGAAGCTGGGCTGAGGAGTTGCAGCCAGGATTGAACCCAGATGCTCCAGGATGGCATGTGACTGTCTTAACTAACAGCCCAAACACCTACCCCTTTCTTAGGATTTTTAAAATTAATTTAAAAGGTAGAGAGACTGAGATCTCCTATCCTCTGGTTCACTCCCCCAATACTTGCAATACCCAGGTCTCCCATGTAGGTGGCAGTGGCAGAGACCCAATTACTTGAGTTGTCACCTGCAGCCTCCCAGAGTGTGCATTAGCAGGAAACTGGAATCAGAAATGGAGCTGGACCTGGAGTCAGGCACTCTGAAATGGGGGCAGGTGTCCCAAGCAGCAGTGTAGCTGCCAAACCCGACACCCACTCCAGTGTTGAATACTGTCACACTTTCTTCTTTTATCTGTTTCCTCTTGGTATCATTGAACTAATGCTTTATCTCCCGAACTTCTTGTAACCTGTGCAAGTCTGGAGAGGTGTAAGGTGCGGGCTGAATGTTGTTGGCAAGCGTCCTACACAGGGCCCCAGAGTTTTCTTATTTGTGATGTGATGAGGTGGTCTAGACCCATCTGTGCATTATTGCCCTCCACCTGAATCAGCCATTTCCCCAGAAGACCCTGAAACGATGAGTCCACAACCTGGGCTTCTAAGTATAACAGCCCTCGGGTCACAGTGAGGTCAGAGCCCGTGCTTTTGGGAGGCTCTTGTGGTGCCAGGAACGCGATGGTAGTGGCTCACCCAGGGAGCTGGCAGCAGAGAGAGAAGGGCGAGAGCAGGACCATCAGGATCTGAGGGGTGAGGGGAAGCAGTGGAAGGTGGCTCTGGTTTCTGGTTAAGGAACCCAGTAAATAGCAGTGGCGCCTGGTACAGTGACGGCAGGAAGGAACCCAATGAGAGGAGCAGGTGGAGGGAGGGAGGGCTTCAGGGGCCAGCTCAAATCAACCAGCTTTTTGCAGCAAGCATTGACAGTGTGTCTGTTCTCCTAGGTCTCGCTCTCGAAGCAGACATTCTCGGAAGAGCAGAAGCCGAAGTGGCAGCAGCAAAAGCAGTCATTCTAAGAGTCGATCCCGATCCAGGTAGGTCCAGCTGGATGTGTGGAGGCGGTCAGCAGGAAACTCCTGTGGCACGTCTCACTTGGATTTTGATCATATGCACAGCCCTCGGGCCAGCCCCTCCAGCCCCAGGAGGGAATTGGGGTTCAGAACCCAGTCCCTGGCCACTGCCAGCATGCATCATACTGCTGGATGTGCTCGTCCTTAACACGAAGCCTGGTCTCAGGTGGCTCAGCAACCTGCCGTGTCTCCACAGGTCAGGCTCCCGCTCCCGGAGCAAGAGCCGCAGCCGCAGCCAGAGCCGCAGCCGGAGCAAGAAGGAGAAAAGCCGGAGCCCCAGCAAGGATGACAAGAGCCGCAGCCGCAGCCGCAGCCGCAGCGCCGGCCAGAGCCGCAGCAAGAGCAAAGACCACGCGGAAGAGAAGGCGCAGAACAATGCCAGCGCCGGGAAGTCCAAGAGCCGGAGTCCCAGTCGGCATAAGAGCAAGAGCAAGAGCCGCAGCAGGAGCCCAGAGAGGGCCGCGGAGGAGGAGAAGCGCAGGAGTGGCAGCCCGGAGCCCAGCCGGAGCCAGGAGAAGAACGACCCCAAGAGCAGGAGCCGCAGCCGGAGCAAAGGGGGCAGCCGGAGCCGCAGCCGGAGCCGCAGCAAAAGCAAGGACAAGAGGAAGGGGCGGAAGAGAAGCAGGGAGGAAAGCCGTAGTCGCAGCCGCAGCCGCAGCCGCAGCCGTAGTCGTAGCCGTAGTCGTAGTCGCAGTCGCAGTCGCAGTCGCAGTCGCAGCAAGAGCGAAAGGAGCAGAAAACGCAGCAGCAAGCGGGACAGCAAGACGAGCAGCAGCAAGAAGAAGAAGAAGGAAGACACCGACCGCTCCCAGTCCAGGTCGCCATCCCGCTCGCGGTCAAAGGAGCGGGAACATGCCAAGTCCGAGTCTGGCCAGCGGGAAGGCCGAGGGGAGAGCGAGGATGCCGGCCCCAAGCAGGAGAGCCGGTCCAGGTCAAGATCCAATTCCAAATCGAAACCAAACCTTCCATCAGAATCACGTTCCAGATCAAAGTCCGTGTCGAAAACCCGATCGCGATCCAAGTCGCGGTCCAGATCTGCTTCTAGATCACCCTCACGGTCTAGATCCAGGTCCTAACTGGTTACGGCCGCAGCTGGAGCCGCCGGAGAAGTCTTTTGTACATGTTCGGTAGCCGTAGCACAAGTGATCGAAGTAGAACACGTCACTCTGTACATTTTTAACTCCCTTGATGGTGTGTCTGTAATTGTTAAATCTAAGTGCTTCCTCTCAGTAACGCCTCCTGGCGCCAGGCCTCCTGCTCGACTGAAAGAAAAGAAAATCTCTCTGAAACCCCTTTTCTCATGGCCCACGGTAGAATATCCAAAATGCCTTGGCTTTCAGGCCTGGCTTTTCCTACAGGGAGCTCAGTACCTGGACGGCTTTAAGGCTGGATGATGACATAGGTAGGTACGGTGAGTTCAACCATTTTTGCCCTTGAATTGATGCCCTTTGATGTATGCCATTTAGTGAAAGTGCTAAGTCTTAAGTTTCTTACCACTTTGAGTTCATATTTTTGGACTTAACAAAGTTGTGAATAGCACAGTCGAGGAAAATTGATACCTGCAGTTACCCATAGGAAATAAACTAGAGTTCCATATTCTGGTATTGTGATTATATTGTTTTATATTAAAAAAGAAAAAAGAATTTTTTTTAATTTTATTTTTCCCCGTCTTGCAAAGTATAGTGACCCCTGTTTCCATTAAATTTGAATAAAGACTATTTTTGCTTGACAAAATTCCATGGTGCTTGAATCAAGGTTGCATTTCCTGATACATCTTTAGCACTCTCTTCTCAGCATAGAGCTCACGTGTGCTAGCTGGTTTTCCCCTTGGAATCACCCACGGCAGGGAGCCACACTTAACTAAAGGATTCGCACCCAAGCAGGAGAAAGCAAGCTTCCCAGGAGTGCATGATTCCTCCTGTCGTAGGAAACTTAGTTCCAGGCTGATGAGGACGGAGTCGGCTTTGGAAGCAGAGCATCGCTGCCGAGTTCCTCACGAACAGCGTGCACTCCCCGTGCTGCTGGCTGAACTTGGCACGAGCGCAGTGGCGAGCTCACCGTGTGTGGATGAGAGGTCTTTGAAGGCCGAGTCAGGAAGGCTCTGGAGGACCTGTTTCCCTGTGGCGCTTGGCCCTGCTCATTTGGCCTAGCTCCGTAGGAGGTCCCAGAGACACAGCGACGGCCGCGTGCTCTCCGTCCTTGAGGAACGGAGGAGAGGCCGTCATTGCATGCAGCAGGCCTGAGCCGCCCAGGAGTTCTCGCGGGGCTGTCCCTGTTTTTAGCGCATCCGCCTGCAGAGGCGACACTGCGGGCGCCCAGGGCGTACAAAAGCGGAGTGCTTCCTCGCTCTTCTGAGATGTGGTCCGTGGTCAGCACAAGAGCCAGGCGGACACGGAGAGACAGGAGTTAGAACGTCACCTGTGGTGCAGGCAGCTGTCGGCTTACGTGACGGTGAGGGAGTGGCGCAGGGCAGCCCCGATCACCCAGGAAGCCAGATGACACCCTTGTCGAAGGCAGCGATAGGTGGGTGCAGGAGAGGAGAAGCAAGACAGGGAACGGGGTGATCCCAGGATGAGGAGGCAGCACTGGGAGCAGGCAGATCGCGGGGAGGCAGTGCTGCCTGGGAACGCGGCATTTCAGGAGCAGACTGGGCATCCAAGCCCGGGTACAGCGTCTCCCTAGAGCCTCCGGACCCTTACGTGGGCCTGTCGTGCCATCATGATGTGACGCTCAGTCAGAATGCCTGCTGCCTCGGACGATCTGTTGAATTTTTTAGACACAAATTTTATTTTAAAGTTTACCTTAATTCCACATTAACTGCATCTCCTTTTCCAAATTCCATTCTAAGCTCTGTTCCTATTCACTCATTCTACACAAGGTTCTGTTCGTGTAATTTAATAAATGTCATCACTTAATATGAGCATTGGAAAGTTCTTGCTTAAGTGTTTAAGGCGCATTGATGCTGATCCAGTTAGCTTAGCTCGGTGGTCCTTAAGAACGGTGGTTCGGAAAGCCCGTGTTGTGCACTGAAAGGATCCCCAGCCTTTTTTCCAGCAATGTTTAAATCCATTTGTATTAGATTCTGAATGAAAAGAGGCTAAAGAAATCTGCGAGGGGCAAGTGGAAACATCTACTGAGACCCACACAGATAGAGCCAGCTGATTTTGGCGAAGGATCAGAGGCAAAATAGTCTTCAACCAGTGATGTGGAGACAACAAAATCCACATGCAGGAAAGTCTCTCAGAACTCAAAATGGGTCATAAATGTATAAAACTACGGCTCAGTGAAGGAGAAAGCCTTAGTGACCTTGGGTTTGGCCATGACTTCAGATAAGGTACCTGTATTACGATCCATTAAAGAAAAATTGATGTTGGATTTCATTAGAATACAAACTATGCTCTGAAAGGTACTGTTAAGCCACAGACTGGGGGGGGGGGGGTGCAAAACATGGCTGAGAGCTCCCATGGGGCCAGCATTAATTGTGGCATAGTGGGCAAAGCTGCCAAATGTGAATGCCAGCATCTCATGGGTGCCTGTTCAAGTCCCGGCTGTTCCACTTCCCATCCAGCTCCCTGCCAGTGTGCCTTGGAGAGCAGCAGAGAAGGGCCCAAGTGCTCGGGCCCAGCATCCATGTGGGAGACCCAGAGGAGGTTCCTGGTTCTTACCTTCCATCTGGCCCAGCACTGGCTGTTGTGGCCATTTGTGGAATGAACCAGCAGATGGAAGATTTCTCCCTGTCTGTAACTGCCTTTCAATTAAATTTAAAAAACTTGTATGTAAAATACACAACGAATTCCTAAAACTCAGCATTAAAACAACTTTAAAATGGGCAAAAGATCTGAATGGACACCTCAGCAAGAATAGACAAATGGCAGATAACTAGCCGGGGAGCTTAGCAAGTTGCAAACAGACTACAGTGAGATACCACTGTACACATACTGCAATGGCTGACATCCAAAAGACTGACCAGCCAAACGCTGAAAGGGAGGTGGAGCAATGGGATTCCTCATGAGAATATAAAGTATAGTCAAATGGGAAGATGGTTTGCTGCAAAGCTGAACACAGTCACCATCCTGGGGTTGCTTAGTTTTGTTAAGATGCCTCAGACCAGTGTAGCAGTTTATTTGAGCAAAGAAAAAAGTAAGGATAGGCCCAGCACAGTGGGTGGAGCCACTGCTTGGGATGCCCTTACCCCGTATCAGGGTGCCCGTTTGAACCCTGGCCACTTCCTACTTCGGATCTAGACTCCTGGCAGGCAGGCAGTGGCTCAAGCGCTTGGGTTTCTGCCGTCGTGGAAGACCCAGGTGGAGTCTTAACTCCTAGCCTTGACCTGGCCCACACTTAGCTATTGCAAGGTTTTAAGGAGTAAGCCAGCAGGTGAATAACTTGTTCCTCTGTCACTTGACCATTCAAATAAAATGAGTCTTTTAAAAAGAAAAGTCCAAATAATTGGCAAGCATGGCTCAGCAGGTTAAGCTGCCGCTTAGGGTGGCCACACTGGGGTGCGTGCTCTAAATTCCAGGTACTTTGTGCTTCCAGTCCAGCTCCCTGCTCATGCAGGCTCAAGTTCTTTAACCTACTGCCCGTATGGGATACTGGTGCTGCAGGCAGAGGTTTAGCCAACTCTGCCACAGCACCGGCCCCTGAACATACCATTGTTGCACTGGAGTCTTGCTGACCACCTAGTTCTGAGTTCTTGCTGTTATAGCTGAAGAACATGTATTGACAGCAGATGGCTGCACGTAGACATTAAAAACTGAAAAGGGGTGGGCATTGTGGCACAGCAGGGTAAGCTGCCGCCTGCAGCCCCGGCATCCCATAGTAGCACCAGTTTCCAATCTCGGCTGCTCCACTTCCATTCCAGCTCCCTACAAATGTGCCTGGGAGTGCAGCGGAAGATGGTCCAAGTACTTGGGCCCCTGTGGCCACACAGGAGACCCCAATGGAGTTCCTGACTTTGCAGCCAATTGGGGAGTAAACCAGCAGATGGAAGATCTGTCTCCCTTTCTGTTACTCTTTGCCTTTCAAATAAATAAATCTTAAAAATAACACACACACACACACACACGTTAAGACTGAAAATACAGCACACCAGGGAGATTATAATTATTAGGAAGATTAATTAAAAACAAGAATTTGGGTTTGTATCTTAGGATCCTCATGAAATAAATTAATCAGAATTGAATAATCAAAAATGAGGCTGAGGGACAGTGTTATGTCCATGTCTGGACATTGGTTCAAGTTTCAGCTGCTTGGCTTCCGATCCAGCTCCCTGCTCATGTGCCCGGGAAAGTAGCAGAACATGGCTTAGGTGCCTCCCGTGTGGGAGACCCAGATGGAGCTCCAGGCTCCTGGTTTCAGCCCTGACTGTTGTAGCTATTTGAGGAGTAGGCCAGGAGATGGAAGATCCCTCTCTGCCTCGCCCGCCTTTTCTGTAACTTTGCTTTATGTATAAATGAACGAATGAATTTTTGAATAAAATAAGAACTTCTTTAAGGGCAAAGAGGAGGCAGTGCTATGGTACAGCAGGTTAAAGCCCCAGTCAGGACTTGAACTGGGCACACCCTCATGGGATGCCAGCATCCCGGGTAGTGGCTTAACCCCCTGCACCACAATGCTGGCCCCTAAAATGCTTTCAAAGTGAGCCAAGGGACCAGCATTGTGAGGGCCGGTATCGTGGTGCAGTGGGTTAAGCTGTTGCCTGCAATGTTGGCATCTCATATCAGAGCCCTGGTTCTAGTCCTGACTGCTTCAGTTCCGATCCAGCTCCCTGCTCATGTGCCTGAGAAAGCAGAAGATGGCTCGAGTTCTTGAGCCCTTGACACTGACATGGGACCCAGATGGAGTTCCCGGCTCCTGGTTTTGGCCTGAACCAACCCATGCCACTGCGGCCATCTGAGGAGTGAACCAGCAGATAGGGCAAAGTGGAGAGATCTTTTTTTTTTTTTTTTTTTTTTTTTTTTTTTTTGACAGGCAGAGTGGACAGTGAGAGAGACAGAGAGAAAGGTCTTCCTTTTTTCCGTTGGTTCACCCCCCAGTGGCCGCCTTTCAAATAAATCTCTCAAAAATGAAAATGAACAAGATGAGGAATCTTCCTTTTCAGCAAACAGCCTGTAGGGTTGTGTTTTTGTTTGTTTGTTTGTTTGTTTTTTGCAAACAAGTCTACACAATACTCTGTATTTATCCACATGCAACAAAAAATATTAGCAAGACTTCTCCCTGGTCAGCTGGCAGATCGGCTGCTCCTTACTCGAATTCAGCCTGTTGCAGTTCTACAAAGTGCCCACGATTCAAACAAGCAGCCGCATCAAGCATATTCCTCTAGTTTGCTACTGAAGGGACTAAAGCATCCCTTAGGTCAAAGAAAGCCCCAAGGTTAGCACAATAGATCCAGCACCTCATCAAGTCTCCGTGAAAGTCACCGGGTGTGAAGCTACAGTTACAGCACTGTCCCCTTAAGCAAAGAACCAATAAGGGCGGAAGCCTCGTTGGATGCAAAGTCTCACTGCAACATCCTGGGAAAAGTGTCCACATCTGAGGATGCCATCTGCTTCCGGGAAAACCCTGCTCCGTTTGCCTGGGAGGCCGCTCGCGCTGTGAGACCAAACCTGTGATCCTAGCCTTCGAGGCTTTGGCGCAGTGCAGGTGGTGCGAGAAGACCCTGGGGTGGACCCTGCTGCGGGGACTCAGGAGCCGTCTTTCTCCGATTTCACTTCCAGAAGACCCAGTCTCCAGGG